CTTATCCACCTGGCCATGCCGGGCACTCAAAACAAAGAAATCAATCGTTGAGCTCACGTGATGAAAAAAGAAGTCAACGCTGAATCTCACCCTCCCTGGTCCAAAACATGAACCTAAAAGAGAACGATGAACCCACGCGTCGTATAGACTGAAAATTCCAATTATTTGATAAGATGTTCAAACCAATCAACAAACAGCGTTGAAAACAACACAAAATAACGTTATAAGGGTCAATATATATATGAACTTAATTTGTAGATAGTGTTACGTAAAAGAGTACTGTAAATTGAAAGCAATATAATTTTCAAACATTACACGTACTTCTCTCAATATATATAGATACCAGCTTAACAAAGAGCCCTTGATTGAAGTAAAAAAGAAACAAATGAGGCTTCCGATATATATATATACGTCACAAACCTCTCTAGTGTTTAGAAAATAGCTCACAGGGAAAGGAACGATAGCTACCGAAAAGGACAGTGGCAGTTAGTGCGTGACCACGCGATCATTGACGCAGAGTCTCTAAGAAGTGTGTTGGGAACTAGGTTAAACAATGAGTAGGTAACTCGAGTATTTCTGGAGATCATTTGAAATCTTGACACAACAATAAACATAAGACATTACGTGGTGTTAACTGTTTATAGTTTCTATAAACTGACCTTTGTCTCAAACAAAATTTGGAAAAGTTTCGGTTTGAAGATTTCCATTCATTATTAATGCGAAAATTGTAAATCTTTATAAAATGATGGTCATGTGGAAAAAAATTGTTCTACTTTTCTGTGGACTGTTCGAAACGCTTGTGTTTAGTGGTAATGTTCTGGGATGGACTGCTTTATCTTATATGTTGAAGAAAGAAGGCGTCTATTTGGAGGTGTGCTTATCAGATGACGTCTCTTTGGACAACAAAATAGAAATGACTAGTAATTCTCAGGCTGTGGACCAAATGATTAGTAAAGACCTCTATTTTAACCAGACGCAAGGTCAGGAGGGCTCCATAGCCAATTTGACGCACCCTAAGGTAAGCCAGACGTTAGTATCATCCTAATAAACATATTTATCAATATTCATGATAATGCTTTGCATTTAGAAAAACGTTATTTATCGTGACATTCAGAGAATAATTAAGTTGATGAATCGACAAAGAGGGAGATATTTTAATCATATTTCAATAAAACTTAAAATATCAAGTAAAGATTAAACACACACACACACAGACTATTATGAATAAAGATATATGGACGTTTAGAACAATATTTAGTGTAACTGAAATCAACGTATTTGAGTAGAACAATATTTAGGGGGTAACTGAAATCAACGTATTTGAGTAGAACAATATTTAGTGTAACTGAAATCAACGTATTTGAGTAGAACAATATTTAGGGGGTAACTGAAATCAACGGATTTGAGTAGAACAATATTTAGGGGGTAACTGAAATCAACGGATTTGAGTAGAACAATATTTAGGGGTAACTGAAATCAACGGATTTGAGTAGAACAATATTTAGGTGGTAACTGAAATCAACGGATTTGAGTAGAAGAATATTTAGGTGGTAACTTAAATCAGAGGATTTTTTAAAATAATATTTAGGAGTAACTGAAATCAACAGATTTGAGTAAAATAATATTTAGGGGTAACTGAAATCAACGTATTTGACTAAAATAATATATGTAAATACAGAATAAAATTTAGTGTGAAAGAAATTGAACTTCGTTGGATTCAGAATTTCTCTACAAATATATGGCTGTCAATTATATTCTGTATTTATCAGTCTAATCAAACTGTTTAAACAGTATTTACCATTATCATTCCTTAGACAGCGTTGGTACTCATTTATTATCGAGTATTATATATTTTTCAAAAAATAATAACTTAGAAACAAGTAAACACAGGTACGCTGTGCCTTTATAATCAAAACGAACAGCTAATTATTGACCATAATGCAACGGTTACGGTTACGATGTTTTAAGTCCGTTTTTATGTTTTTGAGATAAGTTATTTGAGTTATTTGTCTTAATTCGCACATTAGGCATACACCACACACATATATATGTCAAGATAATTAGTTTAGTGGGTATCTTAATTCGGCAAGTTTTGAAAAAAAGGGAACAGAATTAAAAGACAAAAGAAGATTCATTTTCGTTTAGAAAATGTAATTATAAGATGTTCCACAAATTCTTCATCAGTCTATATTAAATCTCGGTGTGTATGTGGGTTTCTTTGTCTGCAAACTCCCCCCCCCCCCATACTTTTGGAGTTGATAGTACCAAATTTAACTTGCGGACACTAGCCCGGGAGTTGTCCTTATCTATATATATTCTAGCTATCATACCAAGGAGAGATAAAACTCGATCAACTCGATAGACAGGAGTGGACAATGGAAGATAATGAAGTGATTGTAGGAGTCTGATAATTGTCAAACATCTTCTAAGTATTATGTGAGTTTGTATGTGTCTGTTAACTATTGAACAAACACTGACCATTGATAAATGTCCGGTAACTATTGAATAAACTCTAACCATTAATAAATGTCTGGTAACTATTGAACAAACTCGAACCATTGATAAATATCTGGTAACTATAGAACAAATTCTAACCATTAATAAATGTCTGGTAACTATTGAACAAACTCGAACCATTGATAAATATCTGGTAACTATAGAACAAATTCTAACCATTAATAAATGTCTGGTAACTATTGAACAAACTCTAACCATTAATAAATGT